GAACAAGGAAAATGGTAAAACTAGTATCAGTCTCGTTACATAGCTAGCCTCGGCCAATTATCGTCTCACCACCATCCATGATTAGGCAGCAGGTAGCTCCTCTGTCAGTCTGATAATATCAATTAAAAACAACCAACATTTATCAAACTGAAAACCACATTTTTATATAGATAAATAGAGCAAGAACCATCTAAAACCAACATACAGAAGAAAAGACACAACAACGTAAAGAAGACACATCTAGATAGCACCACACAACGAAGTAAAAGAAAATACATTTTTAAAGATATTTCATATACCTAATTTTCTTGGCATCTTCTTTCTCAGCCGGCTCAATGGAGTGAACTGCTAAGACAATCCAAATAATTATAGGGCAGTTTCATAACAAGTAGAAAAGTCTGCAAAACGCAAGCCATTTATGACATTGCTGCAGACTTATGATTGATCCAAAAGCTGAACTATGAGTACCTTTCTTTTTCAGTTTTCAGCTCGCAGGAGTGATACTTGTTGGAGTCATAACAGAAATAGCAGACCATAGCTTGGAAGTGTTTTGGCTGATCATCTGAAGGCTCCTTAGCTCTAAAGGTAATGTAAAACATGAAGGCAGCAGTACCGGTCGGGTGAGTATTGGCTTTGATAACCTCAACAAATTCAAAACCTTTACCCTGTGAAACAAAAGCGTTTTAAGAGAAAAAAACATTCATAGTAAAATGTAAAAAAGAAGCATAAAAAAAAATATATTCAGACCGTTGTTTTATTGTATCGCTCAAGGGAATCTCGAGGAGCCTCTTTATTACTCCTCTGGTGGTATCTGTATCCTTGAAATAGTAGTTTTCATCGAAATCAACTGGTACGTAATTAAAAATGCAGCGGAACTCCTCAAAGTTGATGTCAAAACCCTAATTACAAAATTTACAATATTAGATTCTTTAGACAAAAGAATGGTCCTTACTTAGATGAAAATCAAATAAACCTTGCTACTCTCGACTTGTTCTTCAAAGCGGCGTTGCTCTTCCTCCGGCGTGAGAAAAGGTCCTTCATCCTCACGTCGTCTTATGCACGGAAGAAAGTGGCATTTTTCCTCAGGCTCAGAACCAGGCTCGTAGCGCATAAACACAGGTGCTCCCCACTCATTGGTCCAATCTGCGACCGGGATAATCGAAGTTAGAGCGGTTACTCTTTAGATCCTTTAAGTTCAGAGTTGGTACGTACCTGGCCCGCCCGGCTCTGCCATCGTTTATGTACGAGACAAACACCAATTCTTTCTTCTATACACCTTCTACAATTGTACTGCAGTCCTTGTAAATTTTGTTTTATTAAATTTTGGTCAATAGTCAGTAAAAATTAATGTTTTATGCTTCCAATATATAAACTGAAATCAATACTATTATAACAGGATTATTTTTATGGATTTTCCCTTAAATTTCCTTTTTGTACCATTAATTTTGTCTTAAAAACTTAATCTCTAGGAGGGTAATTTAGGAAATGAAAAAATGATCACCCAAGCTATTAAAATTAATCATGATTTCTAGGGCTGGGCAATCGGGGTCCCATTCAGGTTTCAGTTCGGATTCATTTGGATTTCGGGTTTTCGGGTTCGTGAATTTCAGCCCCATTCAGATATTATAAAAATTGGGATCGGATTCGGTTCGGGTTTAGTCGGATTCGGTTTGGGTTTAGTCGGGTTCGGCTCGGGTTTAGTAACATGTCCAAAATCCGGTTGAAACTGAAATAATTTTGGTTTCAGATATTAATCGGGTTATCGATTCTAAAAATACTAATTTATAATTAATTAAACTCACTATATTCTCGATCGTTTTATTAAATTTGTGTATTTATCTTCTAAAAACCATATTGTTCTTTTTCAAAATAATATTGTGAAACTTGTCTATCAACCATATAAGATTTGTCATTGAACTATATGTGACAACACTAAACATATCATGATTAATGACAAACCAAAGCCTTGTATGAATATAAAAAAAAAAAAAAAGTTAACAACTAACAATTCTATAAACTTAAGAAGTACAATTTAAACTATTTTTTTTTAAAACAACACTATTTAAACTTCAAACCAACTTTATTCGTAACTTAACTTAATGTCAATCATAAACATTAATATTAATCAAATAAACACTATATATTAGATAAATATTTGAGTTAATTATTCATATTATAACTAATTATTTTAATGTGTTTTGGAAACATATAAGAAATTTAGATTGGGTATGATACAAATTGTTTGGAATTTTAAAGTTTCGGGTTCGTTCGGATATCCATTTAAGTTCGGGTTCTGTTTGAGTAAAACTCATAACCTGAAATACTGTAAAACAAGATCCATTCGGTACTTATGTCGGGTTCCAATCGGTTCGGATTCCTTTTTATCGGATCAGATTCGGTTCAGATTTTCAGTTTTTTTTTCCAGCCCTAATGATTTCTATGCAAATTTGATTTTAACGTACTCCATTTGAATCATTTAAAAAAGAAACATACAAACACAGGTTAAAGCTGAGATACGATGTATCATCATTATGCTCTCTATTTCCTTGATAAACTATTGCTGAGGAAGAAGCTATATAATCACCACCAATGGCGTTAGCTTTACATGATGCATATAGATAGCTTCAGAAGAAGGGTCGGTCTTGGGATAAGTCTGTGGAAACATTCGTTTCAGGCCTCAAAAACTTTTGAAAAAATTTATTTGTACATAAGCCAAAAGATTTTTTTTTAGGCCCCAAAATAATTAAAAAAAAAATTTTACCTAAATTCTTTTTAAAAATCTCTTAGGACCCCCAAAATTTCAGGACCAATCTTGTAATCAGAAGAGTGATTATTCTCGAATCAATGTTGAGAAAGATAAGTGTCCCGAATAATATATCAAATACATTGTACAATATTTCATGCATCTAATATCAAAATCTGTAACTGAAAAAAACATACACATGGTTGATATTTTTTTATATAAAAAAGGTTGAGATTTGTATACTTATTTCCTATATCATTGTATAAATGCATTCCTAAATCAATATATATATATATATATATATATAACTCTGAAAATGTATTGCATTAAAGAAACAAAGGTGTAAAACACAATCAAAATCAAAGAAACAAAAACAAGGATAGAAACATAAACAGAGCCTAAAGCTCATCCATGTTGATAGATCCCAAAACCTTATCAGATCTATACTTTATGCAACCACAAACACAACGCTTTCTTTTGACCATGTTCTTCTCCGCATAGACCGCATTCCTTAACCATATCAAATTACAATATAACAGGACTGAAACAAAAACGGTGAGTTATACAAACTCCCAGAAACAAAGCCAGCGAATAAAGAAACATCCCTGGAGACAAAAGCCGGCGTGTATACAAACTCCTGGAGATAAAGCCAGCGGATAAAGAAACATCACTGGAAACAGAAGCTGGCAATTATACAAACTCACGGAAACAAAGTAGACTCTTGAACTCTGATCGATGAAAACGCCATCTAAGACCTCCAATTCTTACACGCGGACACTCGCATCCCAAACTCAGCCATCTACCGATTGAAGAATGGCCACCTCCTCGCAAGAGAAAAACTGAAGGACAGAACCACTGCGACGCTAGTAACCCCACCAAAAAGACACAGTTTCTAGGAAGAGAAAGTAGATGCACACAATAAGTCCACATCCAGAAGACGACCCACAAACCAGACTTAAACTAACTACTATCATAGCGACCCATTGCTTTCACGGACCAAAAAGAACAGGTACGAGGATGAATGACGACATCGATAACCCACAGAGACATACCTGTGTTAAGATTCAACAAATCCGATGAAAGAATTAGCAATCCACATCAGAGCCGGCTTATAGTCTTTCACCGCACAGCAGAAAAAGATCCGGATCTGTTCAAACCAACAAGAAATCACTGGAACGACGATAAAATCAACCACCTCTCACCATTCCAAAACCATCGAAAGTCTCAGATCTAAAAGATAAACCTACTACAAGACATTATCTACCCTCTCACGACACCGACGAGATTCGCCGGAAGTCGAAGAGGGCAAAACGAAAATCACTCTTTTTCTCTCTTAGACGGCTGCTAGGTTTTTTTTTCACTAATTGAGCCGGTTTTTGGAAATCAATATATTATACCGTAATGATGATATATTGAATTTTTTTTTGATAAAGGGTTATAATATTTTGAACTTTTAAATCTATCTACGTGTTTTTGAATAATTTAAGTATTATACATGAGTTTTAAAATAATTGTGTGAGATATTATGCTAAATTATATTCTGTATTCCTACATTCACGTGATAAACACTCAACCAGTACGATATTTACTAATTATATTCGAATAAGGTTGCTGATTTTTATACTAATCCATTTAATTTACCTTGAATAACAATCAAAAAGGAATATTCTAACAAATATATTTTAAAAGAACTATATGATCTATACTATTATTTGCGAAGTGATTTTTCGCAACGGAGCTCTCACGTTAAAAGTTAGAGCGGTTAATATCTATTTTACCCTTAATGATTTTTTTATATATAACTAATTTTATAATTAAAAACGAAATTTAGAAAATAAAATTAGATTAGTATGTTATTATCTTAAATAACTGAGAATAATTAATATAATAAATTTATAAAAAAAAAAATCAAATCTAAGAAAATCGAATTTCAATGATTTTATATTTATCTTTATCTAAAACTCTTTTGTATTGGTTTATAAAGTCTATATTAACCTTGAAAAATAATTATATTGGTTAATATATAATTAATTATAAATTAAAAACGAATTTTATTTATTTGATAATTATCCTTATTTTAAATTTTTTATATTATGTGATAAAGTCTTATCAACCTTGAAAAATAATTATATTTATTAATATATAATTAATTTTACCCTTAATGAATTTTTTATATATAACTAATTTTATAATTAAAAACGAAATTAAAAACAAAATTAGATTAGTATGTTATTATCTTAGATAACTGAGAATAATTAATATAATAAATTTATAAAAAATCAAATCTAAGAAAAACGAATTTCAATTATTTTAAATTTATCTTTATCTAAACCTCTTTTATATTGGGTTATAAAGTCTATATTAACCTTGAAAAATAATTATATTGGTTAATATATAATTAATTATAAATTTAAAACAAATTTTATTTATTTGATAATTATCCTTATCTTAAATTTTTTATATTATGTGATAAAGTCTTTATCAACCTTGAAAAATAATTATATTTATTAATATATAATTAATTCTAAATTAAAAAATGAATGTCATGAATTTGATGATTACCCTTATCGAATTTTTTTATATTGTGTTATAAAGTTTTTATTGACGTTGAAAAATAATTCTATTTGTTAATATATAGTTAATTATGAAAAAACAATTCACAAAGAATTTATGTATAGACAATTTATATTGTGTTATCCAAAACATTATTAAAGATAATTTTTTATACATTTTTTTGCTATGTCTAAAATGATTTTAATTTATTACTAAATATTTTAAGTTTATGCGTATTTTCAAATATAAATTGTATAATGAAAATTGTTTATATGATGATGAAAAATTTAATATATAGAAAGAATATGTTTAGTTTTTGATTAAATAGTTTGAGTCTATGAACAATAATTTATTATATTTTACATAAATTGATTATATATTTATTTATAGATATTAGTAAAATTATTAAGCCCGCAAATGCGGGCAAACTACCTAGTTACTCTTTATTTCATGTGATACATTTTTTTCTGAAAATAATTTATCACATTTGTTAAGCAATAACATTATACACTACTATACAGTTACAAAAGCAAAAAAAATTTATGTACACTATATCTTATACTTAATGATGGACATACAATATTGACATCAATTATTAGAACGACATAACATCTATCATGCTATATATTATACAATCTACTTTATTAAATAGAAGTATCCAAATTAATCACCCCTTAATTTTCCAAGTTATTTACAATCATATGCCACTGAAGTGATAAATTTAGCTATATTTTAGTTTTGATGTCTTTTCCTGTTTATTAATGAATTTTCCTTAATCTAAATTTACCTAAAAAGGAGTTGATTTATTAGCTTTTCTAAACAAATAAAATCAATAAATTAAATTTTGAAACCAGAATATCTTTATTATTCCCTACATACATAATTAATAAATAATATTTACTGTAACAATATAATAGAAAACCTAAAATACATAAACA